AAAGATTTTTCCTGTGCATTTGGCAAGAAAAAAAAAATGAAGTGGGCCAGGAATGATGGCTCACAACTGTAATCCTAGCACTCTGGGAGGCCGAGGCAGGTGGATTGCTTGAGTTTAGGAGTTCCAGACAGCCTGAGCTAAAGCAAAATTCTCATCTTTACTAAAAATAGAAAATTTAGCCAGGCATTGTGGTGCACTACTGTAGTCCCAGCTACTTGAGAGGCTGAGGCAAGAGGACTGTTCAGGCCCAAGAGTTCGAGGTTGCTGTGAGCTACAATGACACCATGGCACTCTACCCACTGCAACAGAGTGAGACTCTGTCTCAGAAAATAGGCTTGGCACCTATAGCTCAAGTGGCTAAGGTGCCAGCCACATAGACCAGAGCTGGCAGGTTTGATTCCAGCCTGGGCTGCCAAACAACAATGACAACTACAACCAAAAATAGCCGGGTGTTGTGGTGAGTGCCTGTAGTCCCAGCTACTTGGGAGGCTGAGGCAAGAGAATTGTTTAAGCCCAAGAGTTGGAGGTTGCTGTGAGCTGTGATGCCACGGTACTCTATACAGGGCGACAACTTGAGGCTCTGTCTCAAAAAAATAAAAAGAAAAAGAAGTGCTAATTTAGTGCTGTTTCTTCTTTACTTGAGAGCCAAAGAATTGACCTGGGAAATAAAAAGAGACTAATGAGATTGAGTTCCTTTAGTATGACTGGGTGTTGAAGTAAGGATATGTTTTTTTTAACTTTTAAGCTCCTCTCCCATATCTTAGTTTTGTCAGCAAACAATATTGATGCTTTCTTTTTGTTCTGCATAAGAAGGCATCTATTTATAACAGTGTTTTTCAATCTTTTTTTATCTCATAGCACTCTTGAACCTGTAGTGTAATTTCCGTGGCACACTTAAATTATGTTGATCAAAACAAGAGTTGGAAAAAAGAGTGTACTGACTTGGAGCCCATAGCTCAGTGTGTAGGGCGCTAGCCACATATACCGAGGTTAGTGGGTTCGAGCCCGGCCCCTAAACAGCAATGACAACTGCAACCAGAAAGTAGCCGGACATTGTGGTGGGCGCCTGTAGTCCCAGCTACTCGCAAGAGAATCGCTTAAGCCTAAGAGTTTGAGGTTGCTGTGAGCTGTGACCCCATAGCACTCTAGCAAAGGCGACATAGTGAGACTCTGTTTCAAAAAAAAAGAATGTACTTACTGTGCTTTGAACTTCTTTCAAAAATAATTAATGATCTTTAAAACTTTCTGTGGTACTCCTAAAATCTTCTCACTGAAAAAAATCACTGATTTACAGCATGGTTTATCCAGATATTTCAGATGAAAGTTTAGGAAGTAGAACCTCTGTAAGTTGACCACCCAAGGGACTATAACAAACTGCTTAACATATGGAGCTGGTCAACATAAGGAACTAGGCATTAGTACATGTGGCGCATGTCCAGTCTGTGAAATCTAGGTCAACTCAAGGAGGTGCTCAGTGCAGGGAGGTGGTCAGCTATGTAGGTTTTACTGTATTTCCCTAACAAAATGTATCTTCTATTGATCCTCACTAATGGATTGCCAAGTGTGAAAATAACCAGTGACCCATATTCGTTTCATATCATCTACATTACTTTTTAGGGAGCACTTTAGAATTCCTTTTAGCCAATAAGGTCATTTTACAAACAGTATGCTTGGTGCCAAATAGATATTAGCAGAATACAAAATAATTTCTGACTTAATTTATTATCTCAAACTAGTGGGAGAGGCAGACACATAGGTACTTCTCCACTGAGGACAGACTTTGGGAAGTAAAATAAAAAATAGAAGTGCTTAGCACTCTGGGAGACCAAGGCAGGTGGATTGCCTGAGCTCTTGGGTTCGAGACCAGCCCAAGCAAGAGCGAAACCCTGTCTCTAAAAAAATAGCCAGGCATTGTGCCAGGCACCTGTAGTCCCAGCTACTCTGGAGGCTGAGGCAAGAGAATTGTTTGAGCCCAAGAATTTGAGGTTGCTGTGGGTTATAACGCCACAGCACTTTCTCGAGGGCAACAAAGTAAGACGCTGTCTCAGAAAAAAAAAAAGAAAGAAAAAATAGAAGTGCTGTACTTTATATGAAAATACCATATAAAGTACAATCGTATTATAATTTTCATTTTATTACTTTTTACTTAGCTGTTTGTTGTCACTAAGAATTATTGCTCTATTGGATTTATTGATTCTAAAGACTTTGCAGCAAAGGGGTTTGTTAATATTTTATACCTTATTTTGAGGTAACAAATAGTTGGACTCTTCCCTCCCCAGAAAATTGTATGTAAATGAATTAACATTTTTAACTGGAAGCATCTCTGTTCTCAAAGCACAGCAATTATAGTCAACTCTGAAATATTAATGACTCGATAATGCAGTTTGGGAGACCCAAGTGCTTTCTTGTCTTAAGGATGTTTTAGTCTTTATTGGTATTACAATCTGGAGGTGGGCAGAGGAAATGGAAGAAACATATCTATTATTTTCTGTCCCAATAAAGGCAGTTTGGGAGAGGAGTCTTAAATTCAGAGTTTTGGTCCTTAAAATTCAGGACTCACTGCTGTTTTTAAATTGTTTGTGTTCCCTTCTATTTCCCAGGTTAATCAAATAATTTTTATGCCTGAAGCTAGTATTTTCTACATGTTCTGTTCACTAAACTGCCTAACAAGTAGCAGAGGGAAATAATTTTCTAAGAATGAAAAGACACAGGTTAAGAAAGTGTTTTTTTCCTAGCCCTGGAGTGCTTATTCAAAAAGAGCAGATTCCTGGTTCTACCTCAGAGTGCAGATAGAATCAAAATATGTAGGAGTAGCTAGAACCTTGCATTTTAGACATACTTTCCAGGTGATTTACATCCATACTAATGTCTGAGAACCACTGGGTTAGGGGAACAAGATGTGTGCCCATTTTAAAATCCCAAAAGGAGACTCTCTAAGATTCTTATGTATAATTGCAGGTAAGTAAGCATTCTTACTTTGTCTTTTTTAAAAAAAGCTTAGTTAATTCTTCATTATCCACTTGAAGCTTTTATTCTATAGGTAATGTGTTTGGAACATTTGACAGGTTAATTTTAGATCTCTTATACAATGTAAACTACAAGTGTACAGCCTAAAATCTTCTGGTACCCACGTTAACTTACATTTTAGTAAGTTACGGGTGAAAATTTGAATAATATATTTTATATAAACTTATATACCTAAAATAATTTCACCATGTAATCAGAATAAAAACAGAGGGTTAGGGTTCATTTTTTCTAAGTTTTCTAAATCTGATGTATATTTTATTTACACTTACAGCAACATTTCATGTCAGATGAGCCACATTTTAACTGCTCGGTAGCCTTATGTGGCTAATTGCTACTTTGAACAGCACAGTCTTTAAGATCAACCCTATTAGTTGAATAAACAGTTATGCATCCTAGATGAATATGAAGTAGGGTAGAAAAAATTGACAAAGTATAGGTTCTTTTAGGAGGCAGATAATATATTTGAGTACTTTGAAAATTACTCTTTCTGTTGACTTACCAATTAATGGATACTCCTTTGATTTAAGCTTCATTAGAGGAAAAACTATTTTGGGGATGAGTTAAACTCTTACGATTTAAGATTCCTTTAGTGCAGCAGTTCTCAACCTGTGGGTTGTGATCCCTTTGTAGCAATGAAAATACATCGCGGCATTAGGAAGGTTGAGAACCACTGCTTTAGTGTCTCAAAATGTTAGGAGTTTGCTGAAGATTATAATTTAGGATTAGAGCTACTCAAATTGGGCTTAAGCCATTATTTTGGTTAGATACATTAACCTGTAATCAGTTGCAACAGCTTGATTGTGGCTTGAGATAGGTTATATCTTCAGGGTTAAGGAAAAGTATCAGTGATTTGTTATTTATTTATTTATTTTAACTTTATTCAAATTAATATGAGGGTACAATATTTAGGTTACGTTGTTCTCACTTCCAGGGTAAAGTTCCATTTGTAGAAATGTCCTTCACCCAGGGTGATTTGTTATTTAAAAAAATTTTTTTTGACTACTGTTAATAGGTGGCTACGGTATCAGAAAAATCACGTATAATGGAATTAGAGAAAGACCTAGCACTGAGAGTACAGGAAGCAGCTGAGCTCCGAAGAAGGCTGGAGTCCAATAAACCTGCTGGGGATGTGGATATGTCACTTTCTCTATTGCAAGAGATAAGCTCTTTGCAAGAAAAGTTAGAAGTCACCCATACTGACCACCAGACAGAAATAGCTTCTCTGAAAGAACATTTTGGAGCCCAGGAAGAAACTTATCAGAAGGAGATAAAGGCTCTTTATACTGCCACAGAGAAGCTTTCCAAAGAGAACGAGTCATTGAAAAGCAAGCTTGATCATGCCAACAAAGAGAATTCAGATGTGATAGCTCTGTGGAAGTCCAAACTGGAGACTGCCATTGCATCCCACCAGCAGGCGATGGAAGAGCTGAAGGTGTCCTTTAGCAAAGGGGTTGGAACAGAGATAGCAGAATTTGCTGAATTAAAAACACAAATAGAGAAAATGAGACTTGATTACCAGCATGAAATAGAAAATTTACAGAATCAACAAGACTCTGAGCGGTCTGCTCATGCTAAAGAGATAGAAGCCCTAAGGGCTAAACTGATGAAGGTCATTAAGGAAAAGGAGAGCAGTCTGGAAGCCATCAAATCAAAACTGGACAAAGCGGAAGACCAGCATCTAGTAGAAATGGAAGACACGTTAAACAAATTACAGGAAGCTGAAATAAAGGTAAAGGAGCTAGAGGTACTACAAGCCAAATGCAATGAACAAACCAAGGTTATTGATAATTTTACATCACAGCTCAAGGCTACTGAAGAAAAGCTTTTGGATCTTGATGCACTTCAGAAAGCCAGTTCCGAAGGTAAATCGGAAATTGAGAAACTTAGACAGCAGCTTGAGGCAGCTGAGAAACAGATTAAAAATTTAGAGATTGAAAAGAATGCTGAAAGTGGCAAGGTTTGTATCAACATCCTTCATCTTTTCTTTTCATTTATTATCCTTATTTTGTATTATGTGTTACTTTTGAGTTCGGTTAATTCATCTGTAAAATTTCTGACTTAATTAAAACAAATTGCTTGGTCCTCCCAGTTGACTATAGTTTAGTATCTTCTGAGTATCTTGAATATGGTTTCATCTGAGGAGATTAGAGAAAATAGTAGCTCAACCACATACATTTATTTTGGCTGCCTTTACCTGGGTACCTTACCTAGTACTTTATGCTGAGATCTCTTGTTTAAGCTTAGTTTGAGTCCACAATCTCTATGTATAATAGCTCCCTAAGACAATGATGTCAAGAAAACGAGTGAGGGTGGTGCCTGTGGCTCAAGGAATAGGGCGCTGGCCCCATATACCGCGGGTAACGGGTTCAAACCCGGCCCCAGCCAAAAACTGAAAAAAAAAAAAAAAAAAGATAAATGAGTGAACAAATTAAGAGAAAAACTTAGAAGATTATGTCCTTCTTTCCTGCCCACGTATGTTTCAGTATGTTTCAGTCAGGGACAGCATGTAACAAGATGGTCCCATAAGGTTATATTACTGTATGTACCTTTTCTATGTTTAGATACATTTAGATCCACAAATACATTTAGATGCTTATAGTATTCAGAACAGCGACAGTTGTAGCCCAGGAGCAGCAGGCCACGCCACCTAGCCTAGGTATCTAGTTTTCTGTAAGCGCACTCAGTGATACTCACATGACAAAATCACCTAACCTCGTAATTCTCAGAACATACTCTTGACCCTAAGCTACCCATGACTGTAATTGCCTTATCTATAGGGTTAAGTACGAAAATACAATGTGAGCTCTGAGTGCTTCTTGACTCTTATAAATGAAAGTACTATGATAAATAATATTCATGGCAAAATTAAGGTTAAGACCCTAGAGCCCTTTGCATCATGAGTTGTGTTTCACTGGAGTTTTTCTGTGGCACAATGAGAACTCTTTTGCTTTTTTGAGGAAAAACTAGACAAGTGTGAGTTTGGTCAAGGCATAGGAAATTGTATAAAACATTCACCAGCTGCATTTCATATTAACTAGTCTTGTTAAATGTTATCTTCACTTTTAAGGCTTGTTCAAAGAATTCTTTCTCAGTCCCGCCACTAGTTGAGGTGCTGGTATTGATGCTGAATGTTCTGAGCTTTTTGTGAGAGAGGCTGCCCTATTGGCAAAGAAGGAAGGGTTGTGATGTTAAATGGGGAGTGGTGAGGATAAACAGTAAAAGTTTACTAAGTAATCATAGTTGAAGATAAACTAGTTACAGGAGATTTTTCTCAGATCTCCTCATGTGGTTCCTAAGTACCTGTCAATACACAAAAATTGATTAGAAGATAATGTATAGCTAATGGTTAGTTCATTTTATTTATGTCAAGATTTAATGTAGTAGTAACTGTTACCTAGCAGATTTTTAAATTTTATTTTTATTGAAATGTTGAAATTTAAGTACATACAAAATTACAGAAAATAATGTATATGTGTTCCCATCACTCCTGTCTTAATGTTGTTTTGTTGTTTTTTTTTTTTTTTATAGATAGAGTGTCACTTTGTTGCCCTTGGTAGAGTTTCGTGGCATCACAGCTAACAACAGCCCCAAACTCTTGGGCTTAAGTGATTCTCCTCCCCTGAGTAGCTGGGACTATAGGTGCCCGCCACAATGCCCAACTATTTTTTGGTTGTAGTTGTCATTGCTATTTAGCTGGCCTGGGCTGGGTTCAAACCTGCCAGGTTCGGTGCATGTGGCCTTAATGTTTTTAAACTCCAGAAAATGAAATGGCTCAAATAGCTCATTTAGAAAGTAAGCATCTGCACTTTCTGCTTTAGATCACGCTGAGTTTTCCAAATTAAATTGAGGTATAGAAAAACAGTCTATTTTGACTGTTTAAAATAGGTATATTCTAGGTGTCCATAAATTTTGTGTGCAGTTTACTATGTTAAAATTTTAAATTGCACATGAACTTTATGTCTACTCTATATAATCATATCTAGAACTGAATTGTTTGAAAAGTTAATGGCTTCTTAGAATTAAAAAAAAAACACCAACTTTTTATTCCTTCCAGTTTTTTTCTGTTTGTTTCTCATAAAGTTTTTGTGTTTTTTTTTTTTCATCTCATTCTTCTTTTTTTTTTTCTTTTGTTCATTTACTTCTATACCATGTAACTGTACGTTAGGCTAGTAACATCACCAAAGAGCTCCAGGGGAAAGAGCTAAAGCTTACTAATCTTCAGGAAAATTTGAGTGAAGTCAGTCAAGTGAAAGAGGCTTTGGAAAAAGAACTTCAGATTTTGGTAAGTACCTGTTGGGAGCCTGTATTTCAGAGTTTCTGGCCATTTCCTGTTCTTAAACTAATTCTCCATAAAGGAAAATACTGCAGCTATTTCCCTTCTTCAAAATGTTGATTTAAATTGACTGTATTAGTTTATGGCAATAAATACTGTACCTTGAGGGGAATCAGATCAAACCCAAACTCTAAATTAAGGTAGGTATTACCTTTTTTTAAAATAAAATAAATCCCTTTTCCTCTAGTAATGTATTGCTTTGGATTGTTATTGACTACTTAGTTTCACTAAATACAGAGACCTTCCAAGTTACACATTGGACACAATTAGGTTTTGTTTATAACAGGGTTCTTGTTTTGTGCCTTTTATTTTTTGGAGACAAAGTCTCTGGTGCCCTGAGTAGAGTGCTATGGGCATCATAGCTTACAGTAACCTCAAGCTCTTGGGCTCAAATGATCCTTTTTCTATTTTTAGTAGAGATGGAGTCTTGCTCAGGCTGGTCTTGAATTCCTGAGTTCAAGCAGTCCATCTGCTTCATCCTCCCAGAGTGCTAGGATTATAGGCGAGAGCCACCTCGCCCGGCCACCTGTGCCTTCTTCCATGTGCTTTGTGCCTACATGGGGCAGCAAGCCACCCAGCCATCCTGGTCATCAGCACCCTTTGTTGATGAGGCAGAGTACTGTCTAATTGAAGGGATGCAAAGAAATTTTTCTAATAACCCAGTTTATTCTCTGCCTTGGGAAATTATTTTTCATTTTGTACATTTTTTCTCACGTAAGGTAAGATGTTTTTTCTCTTCCTTCCCCTTGCTCCTGCCTCCTGCACCAAAAACTTGACCTCTAACAAGGCTGATAATCATGAATAGAACCAGTGGTACCCGCACATCATAGAAAGGGAAAGTTGTAGCTTACAGAGAAACCAGATAAGAGAAACATTAGTTAGTAAAGGTCAGTTTCTCAGATCTTTCACCTTCCTTCTTGTTCCCCATTTATTACACTTGTATGCTAATAATAGTGGTAAGTAAAAATTTATGATTTTTTTCCCCTTCATCTAAGTGCCAATATTACATTTTTCTACTTTTGTTAATGGTAAGTATATACATGTAGCTGTTGTGCACATATGACTCTATAAATTTAAGTAGATTAAAGTTAAGTAAAATTTGAGATTCACTTCCTCAGTTGCACTAGCTACATTTTAAGTGATCAGTAGTGATCACATGGAGCTAGTATTCACAGCATAGTAGAAAACATTTCCATCATTGAGGAAAGTTCTTTTGGACTGTTCTGGTATATAATATTTTAGCTACATTTTGAGAGGTTGGCCTGGGAATCACCATTTTGTGAGTTGGTGTCATTTAAGAAGATATTTGAGTTCCACATCATTTCCCTTCTCTCCTTCCTAAACTTTCAGAGTGCTTTGCTTTTTTTTTTTTTTTTTGTAGAGACAGAGTCTCACTTTGTCACCTTCAGTAGAGTCTCATTTTGTCACCTTCACAGCAACCTCCAGCTCTTGGGCTTAGGTGATTCTCTTGCCTCAGCCTCCCGAGTAGCTGGGACTATAGGTGCCTGCCACAACGCCCAGCTATTTTTCTTTTTTGGTTGTTGCAGTTTGGCCAGGGCCAGGTTTGAACCCGCCACCCTCTGTATATGGGGCTGGTACCCTACTCACTGAGCCACAAGTGCCGCCCTTTTTTTTTTGCTTCTTACTAATAAGTAAAGAGTATTCCTTCATGTGCTCTTTAGAGCATATATGCTGCCTTGAGTTTGGCTTTGGGAACAACATAGGTGGCTTTGACGGACTTGTGGCTCACATGCTCATCTTTTTATAATCCTAGTTAGTTGGGAATGCTCATTTAAAAATTCTTTTGGTGTAGCTAGCTCAATGTTTATTTCAGGACAACCAGGAGAATTTTTTTTTTGAGATGGAGTTTCACTCTGTCACCCTGGGTAGAGTGCCATGGTGTCATCATAGCTCATAGCAACCTCTAACTCTTGGGCTCAAGTGATCCTCTTGCCTCAGTTTTCTATTTTTAGTAGAGATGGGGATCTTGCTCTTGCTCAAGCTGATCTGGAACTCCTGTGGTCAGGCAATCTACCCTCCTTGGCCTTCTAGAGTGCTAGGATTACAGACATGAGCCACTGTCCTAGGCCAGGAGAATAATTTTTATTATTTTATTTTATTATTATTATTTTTTTGAGACAGCGTCTCAAGCTGTTGCCCTGAGTAGAGAGCTATGGCATCATAGCTCACAGCAACCTCCAACTTGGGCTCAAGCGATGTTCTTGCCTCAGTTTTTCTACTTTTTTTTTTTTTTTT